CTTGTCAAGTCAAGAGTAGCCCCAGACCAGACTAACTTCGGAACCCTCATATCCAATATTTATATACATCATTTTATTAGATTTGCACGTTTCTCATGAGAGTACCTTGGTCAGTTTTTATAATTCAATGTCAACGGATGATTTGATTTACTTTATGTTTATAAAACCCTCATGGTTCGAAATAACTGATATACCGTATGTTCTACTCGTGACATGACCCCTCTCTCCAAGAAAACTGGACCCCAGTTTTGAAATTACTACCTAACTTAAATATATCGAGGAGAACATTTAAAATTCATTTACATTTACAAAAAATTTCAGAAAACAAATATCCACAAACATTCGAAATTTAGTGTCTACAATGCACACTCACACCTTTACTTAGTCCGGCACTGGCTATTCAACTAAAGCATTTCAATCAGACTCTTCTCGGTGGGACTTCTGGCAGCTTGGGGGTAGGGAATGACGATTGGGCATGGCATCCTCCAATCGTCATGGGAATTTCGGCAGGATCCTTTTGGGCTCGAAGGTATCCTTGTCCTGGGCATCGGGATGAAATCTTTTGGGCTTTAAGATTTCCTAGACTGTCATTCGAGGTAGTTGGCAGCTGAACGAAGGGAACTCCTGTTTTCTTGGGGTAGCGAATGACGACTGATGGGCATCCTTCAATCGTCGTGGGAATTTTGGCGGGATCCTTTTTGGGCTCGAAAGGTATCCTCGTTCTGGGTATAAGGGTGAAATCTTTCGGGATAAAAGATTTCTTCAAGGTAGGTAACAGCTGAGCCAGAGTAGATGCTGGCTGTTGGCAGTTGCTGTGATGACCGCAAAACATCTTGGTCCATTCGTCTCGAAGTCGTCTCAATGAAGCTAGTTGACTGTCCATAGGAGGCAACGACGAATTCCCGTCATATGAGAGGTTGGGCAGGCTATTCACAACTTGTGGCAACTCGTGGCACTCCTACGTTTCTCCTCTCCGTTCTTGGGCTACCCAGCAGCTACCTTCGAATCATGTTGAATAGTCAAACGGTCCTTGGTTTGTCCATGTTTGGCCATTTGACTGCGTGGCTGCGCCCCCCTGGGTGTCTGATTCGATTATGCGTGCTGTTTTCCCGTGCTCAGTGTGGGTGCATTGTTTTGTGTGGTTTCGTTGAAACATGTGAAAAAGAGAATATTTCCAGTAGATAACTATTCACAATGGGCTAAGTAGTCCTAACATAAGCCTATATATTAACATACGAATAACTTGAAGTGTTTCGCACAATAAGTGAAAACTATTATATATAATTCAATAAATGTTTAACCTATGCTGGGATCCGCTGTCTACCTCTTTCAAAAATCATGAATTTCCTATTTTATTTGTTTTAGTATACCATCAGTATAGTTCTAGAGTTAATTATTACTTATTAATTATGGATGTTATTGGGAAAACTCATTTTCATTCAATTTCTTAAGATAATCATTATTTCATTTTGTATTAAAAACATATCAACATGCTTTCTCGAGTTTCCCAAAGCATGATTCATCATTAAACCTATGACTAAAATAAACAATATTATACTAACTAGAACAAAGTAACGTGAACGAAGTGTCAAGTTCATGATTATATTATCATCATAATAAAGAGTTTGTTTTCACTAATAAGCAAAAGTTATCATTCATTTCAGGGAAATTTGAACGTCGTCTTCCATTTCGAAAAAAAAAAAAAAATATATTGCAAATATAGTTTCTTAATTAAAAAACAAAAGAAATAGTTGATTGAATGAATGACGACACAAGAAAAATTATGAGTTATCTACATATCTACTTAAATATTTATATTTGTGCCAAATTATGAAAAATTTCCCGATTGGTTCCCATTCCATCCAATGAGTCGATGAATTCGAATGCATTTTCTGTAATGAGTAATATATCTCGAGATCGAGATTAAAGTGAATTGATGCCAATATTGCCAATTGAAAATCATTTTCGTAAACAGATAAATTGAAATTATGGTTAAAAAATAATTAGAGTCATGTGAACAAACCAACGTGCCTTCTCGTTGAAAAATTTCATAAAAAAAATTACCTATTTGATAAATATATTATCGAAAATGTCACCATGTTATTTCATACTTACATATTGATCATTTTTGACATTCCAGGTCCAAACCGTAAGATTTAAAAGGATATTCATCTGACAACTCATTATTGGCAGCTTGAATAAACTGATGAACCGTCCGAGAATTGGTACTTTCATGTACTTTGAGCAATATTTTGACTCAAGGTACCTTGAGATTATTTTTTGTTTAATATGAAATATTATCAGAACTTTATTCGATTTATTTATTTATCTTTGGTGTAACCGGTTACACAATGAATTGGCGTTTATTCAATTAAAAAAAATATATCAATTCCCCTATTCACCATGTTTCGATGAATTCAAGTAGTAAGATAGTTTATTATAAGAAAATTGAAAAATATGTTGTAATATTTCATCACTAATACATTATTGAACTGATTGAAAATACTCCTTCTAAATACCGCATGCTCATTCCTCCAATTTTGTTAGAACTAGAACGTACAATTCTTTGTCTAACAACTCGCAAATATTTTCCATTTTTGGAAAATCATCCCCGGGGGTAAATATCATTATAATCATCTTCATAATTCATAAATATACATAATCATCATATACGAGCTCATTATTCCACATTAAATCATCATTTCATGTCCTATCAATTCGAGGACAAAATATATTCAGTAAGGTTAATCCTTCATGCCTTAGTGTGGCACATCTTCCAGGATTCCCTCCTATTTTCTGTTATAGTGCACACTTTCAACTATAACACTTCGTACTTTTTAGAATATCAACCAAACAGCTACTTCTCTGGATGTGGTTTGGCTAGGACCACGAGAAAATCTGAATAGGGTGACGATTATTCTGTACGGAAACGGTTTTCACTTGAAACCAAGTAACAATCTCTTCATTGAGAGTTTACATACACATCAATATTCTTGAGCTCAATTAATTCATTTCATATCATATTTCCATAACATAATAATATCATATTTGCGTATAATTCATTTCAGGAGGAATGACAAAAAATGGTAAACGATACCAACGTTTAAGAGTAATTTCAATATTTGAAAGGTCATATATATACTGACTAAGATATTTTGAATCGAAACATTCTCAACTACTACTTGAATTATTAATTATTTGCATTCGCACTAATATTGAAATTTATTATGAATAATCTTGAATTGTTTTCATTTCGTATTGTTATAAAACTATAGGCACGTTGTGAATGACTTATTATATTTTTACTTGATATAGGTGTTCTTGGCAATGGCATTGGAATTCTTGATTGATTTCATCAATGATAACAAAAAAATAGTGGAAATAATCGTGATTTTAGGAAAAAAAACTGACAAGAAGGAAGAATTTCTTCCGAAATTCAGATAGAAAATTACGAGTAGAGAAAAAAAAAATAACAAAGTTCAGAGATAAGCTCCAATCTTCGTGAGTCTGGTCCGGTGCTTTATATCATGTCTTTGAATAGAAATGGAATGATTTTTATTAAACTCTTCAAGCTTAATGATATTAAAAATATTGAAAAAAATTTGGATTTCTAATTTGAATGACTTTCTTACTTTGTTATCACCCATAATTCATGCTGCTATACTTAATTACTTTCAAGTAACCCTTTTTACTAGTGCCTTTGTATGAAATATGAAATTGACATAGATCGATGATTGCAAAAAAAAATTGATGAGTCCATTATGAGGAATGAGACTCAAGGAAAGAAGCTTAGGCGCCTCCACCATGTCACGATCCTGGTCTTCCTGATGGGATAAGGCCACTGGATCATCTTTGAGGGTAGCTCAGATAGGGTAGATCATATCAACTCAGACACTAATAGTTTAAGAGGTATGAGAAGTAGTAAAAACCGTGTTAAAACCACAAATACATTTATTACATCATTGATATAAAAGAGGAATCATCCAAATGCGATACAAAACAATTAAGTGGTACTTACAATATAAATAGGGCCATTTCGGAGAGGGTTGTCTGGTAGGATGCACAAAGACCTAACTAACTCGTTAACGCGACGACTGACTGTGCGAACCCCTAGATTCCACGACCGACGGCAACTACCCGCTAATCAAGTATCCACTATCAGTTATCAACTATCAACTATCTCTTCAATAATCATAATCTGTATTTATCTGAATTCTCAAGAACTATTATTGTTTAGGTTATTCTCGGTACGTTACTAATGGAGGTTACTCAGTCGTACAGGTTGTTAACGAGTCAATGTCAAAACGTGTTCGAAATGTTTATAAACTTTTCTGTTCAATGAGAAAAGCACGATTTATAATTTTATAGAAATATTGAATTATTAATGACTTTGATTATGATTTTGGAAAAATTACTTAATTGTGACAATATTTTGGGACCCCCTACATGCCCCTGCCCTATGTCGGTTGTTATGTGAATCACCCTGTATATCAGGGGTTTAGGCAGTATATATCAGGGGTTTAGGGGACCTCCTCGAGACCTCCTCGATTAACCTACAGACAGTATAGGTATATCAGGGGTTTAGGGGACCTCCTCAATTGATCTACAGACAGTATATATCAGGGGTTTAGAGACGCTTTTTTTTTTTTTTTATCGCTTGGAGCGCACGAAAGGGAATCCCTATAATGTTCAAAGAACATCGTGCGTTCCTTGGGAGGATAGGGACAGGAGGTAGGTATTGGAATTTTTTTTGAACTTTTGGAGATTATATGTTGTTGGGAATACTTCCACAGGCAATGAATTCCAGAGCCTAGCTGTTCTATGGATGAAGGAGTCTTGATAAAGTGCTGTTCGACATCTTTCGAGGTTGACAACGAAAGGATGTGCTGACTGGGCTTGTCTAGTTCGTCTGATTGGTATTGCTAGTGAAGGGATGATAGCAGACTTACCGTCAACGTCGGCTTGGGCGGCGGATACCTGGGCGGCGTCTTGTTGCGCACCACGAAGTTCTCCGGCACGTCGACCGCCATCTCGCGGTGCGGCCCGTCGTCGGCCGCCCTCGCAGACGACAGCATCATCACCATGTCGTAGTCGAGACCTTGGTCGAGCAGGTCGGGGTGCTTCTTCACCGCGTCGGGGTCGCCGTCCAGCACCACGATGCTGCTGCCAGACCGGCGGCGAGGCCTGGAATAGGGATGGTCCAGTATTAACGGAGCAGGTATTTGGAACAGGCATGACTTTGGAACAGGTATCGTGACTCTCTATGAGCGGGCACTAAAGATCTCAATTGATGATCATAAAGTATTTGGGCAGGCGAGCGACCATTCGACTTAGGTGTATATCGACCCCAATAAACTAGCAGAACCACTTCGATATTTCGGATTTGCAATAGTACTATAATTTGTTACTAATTTAGTACTAATTTATTATCATATTCGCAAATTTATTACTCTTCATTAAACAGAAGAAACCAACGGCTCTGCTAGGTTGACATAAAGCTGAAATTTTAATATTTTCAAAATTTTAAATATACCATAATTTATAACTATTTTATTACTAACTTATAACTATAATCACGAATTTTCAACTCATCATTTCAAGAAAAAAAACGACGATTTTTCTCTCGATCTCAACCTAGCAGAACCAAAACTCAAATCGCATGTTTTTTTTTTAATTTTATTGAATTATCAATAAGCTATTACTTTATTACTAATTTATTACCACATTCGCAAAATTCTAACACTTTATTCATTAGGCAAAATCGACGGTTCTGCTAGCTTTATATCAACCTAGCAAAATCATAGCTAAAAACTTATTATTTTGAAAACTTCAAATATACTATAGTTTATTACTAATTTGTTACCAACTTATAACAGTTATGAGTTAGTAATAAAATAGTAATATTATATTCGTTGTTTTCAAAATAATAATTGTTTAGCTATGGCTCTGCTAGGTTGACAGCAAGCTAGCAGAGCCGTTGGTTTTCCCTGTTGAATGAAGTGTTAGAAATTTGCGAATGTGGTAATGAATTAGTAATAAATTAGTAATTTATCGATGATACAACAGAATTTCAAAAAACATGTGATTTGAGTTTTGGTTCTGCTAGGTTGAGATCGAGATAGACAAATCGTCGTATTCTTGCTTGAAATGATGACTAAAAATTTCGTGATTATAGTTATAAATTAGTAATAAAATAGTTATAAATTATGGTATATTTAAAATTTACAGCTATGGTTCTGCTAGGTTGACATAAAGCTAGCAGAGCCGTTGGTTTAATGAAGAGTACTAAATTTGCGAATATGATAATACATTAGTACTAAATTAGTAACAAATTATAGTACTATTGCAAATACGAAATATTGAAGTGGTTCTGCTAAGTTTATTGGGGTGTGTATATCTCCATTCAAACAGCCCCAAACAAAACTTGTCGTTATTCAATTGCCCATTTTCATAACATTTCGTGATTTATGACTTCATGGCTTTGACCCCTGCTTCTGCATGACCATTACTCTGAGCACTTTTACAGAAGAAGCACCATTGTCGATCTAAATGAAAACCTAGTAGGCGACCTAGTGCGAGGAGGTTATTAGAGCTCCTACCTACTAACTACCTAACTAGGTTGTCATCTAGAACGACAATGGAAGCACGAACATGATTGGAAACTAGTTCAGTGTGGTTCCAGGTTCATTTCAGATACAGAATCAAGATATGCAATGATTGAACCCGAAATGTTTGCAATCACCTGAGCAGTGAATAAATGTCGATTATATCTGTTGGGTCTGGATGAGTTTATAATAAAAACAGACCATAAACCGTTGATTCCAATTTTATCAATCTAACTCTGGATAACATTCAAAATCCACGGCTTCAGCGTTTGAAAGAAAAACGGAAAAACTATGTGGATATGTTTTTAGAACAGAGTGGGTCAAGAGCCAGAATCATTTGATCCCAGATGCGTTATCAAGAGCTCCTACAATGTATCCAGAAAATACGCATTTGTTGGCAGAAGAATCGAAAACACGTTTGATTTCTCTCATCAGCCATCAATTGTGTGAAATAAATATACAAGAGGCATTGAAAGTTGCCTTGATATGACGAGTACAGAATACGAATACGAATAGCGGTGTTCATTGAAGCGGGCTCTGGAACAACGAGTATTTTGGAACAGTATCAGTACGTACCTGTTCCAAGAAAAATCAGGTATCAGCCATTCCTAGCCTGAGAGTGAGAAGATAGAAAGACATTTTAATCCAGTGTTGCCAGGTATTATAAACTCTCACGCGCCTGAATTGAAATTGAAATTGTTGTTATATTCAGAAGTCTTCAAGAAACTTGTGCAAGCAACGAATGACGGAGGGGGAGGGGGGGCTTACCTCTAAACGTGTGATCCCAAATATTATTTTTGAAAATATTTCAATTTAAAACTGAAGTTGCACAATATGTGGATATCTTGGATCAATTTACTTCATCCATCAATGAAATGAAATTATATTAACAAAAAAGTCTTAATAATGTAACAGACAGGATCACAACAGAACATCAATCAACAGATTTGAAGGTATGTATAAATTGAGATGATCTACACGTCTAAATTATTTTAAACGATGCGGCGTTGCCGCTTCTACTAGAAAGTAGCAGCAACAAGAACAAACAAACAAACTTTTCAAATTGAACCCCATGTATTATATGGCATTTCTGGAAGCATGAATAATCACAGAGAATCTAAAAATGCAATGAAATATATGGTGTTCCATTTAGAATAATAAAGTTGCAGATACTTTCTAGTTTTTATGGATTGAAGTTTGGAATCAACAATATTATTGAATTTTCCACCGCAGCAATCAATATATTAATAATAAAAATAATAGTCTTATTGGAGAGAATGAGCTGAACATCCATTATAGCAGGAGTTTTGACTGAAATACAGTTTGAATAATTTATAGTTTCAAATCAAGACAATAATAATTATTGTCACTTGAAGAATGGTTCTCATACGTCAAAATGATAATTTTCATGAAATAAGTAGATGATGATTTTCTTCATAAGATTCAATTTTCATTGTCATTTCAAAATAACAAACGTCCTCATCCACGCATATCTTCCTATATTCTTTCAAGAATATCGTGGAATAAATATTTGTTCCGAAACAAGAAAATCATCTCTTTCATTAGGTATATACAAACAAATTATCTCCTTGAACCAATGCAGTACAAGAAATTATTTTTTTGTGTGTAGGAAATTATGGAAGCTCAGATTATCATCATTAAAATACGAATACAATCATTATTCTTGACACAATTTTTTCTGGAAGCATTCGTCGAATAATTCCACGAAAAAGAAAGTTGAAAGTAAGAAAATCGCAACTATCTATCTCCAAAGACAACCGAGATATCTCGCAGAAGTGTAGAAGATGGAGCAGACTGTACAATTTTCTGGTCAATATTTCGCACAAATATGAGTATTTGAATAATAATTTGAAAAAACGATTAATATGATGTCGTGTCAACATCCCCACCAAATGGCGTTCGTTAGCTTCACATTTTTCAGCATATCTAAGTGGATATGATTTAATTTGTTTTGGTACATAAAAAAGAGCTACTGTATTTTTCCCACAGACCAGTCAGCTAATGGATTTCTTCCGTCAAATAGGGCATGTAATTACTTTGTCCGCAAAGCGATTCGTATTTATAATTTGAATATTTTACATCATGAAAAATGACACTTTATTTGCAAGCGAAAAACAGTTTAATTACATGTCAGAAGCATGTTATTAAAAATATGGATTTTCGATTAGGAGGCTAAATTTTGGACAGCGAACACCTGTTGGCCTCGTAAAATTCGACATTATTTTTTGTAACTTGAAACTCCAGACCTGAGCGTAGGAAACAATGGATCATAAAATATCAACAGTGTTGCTTCGAGCGGTCTCCACTATACAGTCTGTCCAAGATAAGGTTGAACAGCATGGGGATCAAGAGCCTTCGAAAATTTTTAAAATTATTTTTAGTTTTTGAGTTATATCGAAAAAAGTCAATTTTTGGAATATCTATTCAATTTTTTTTCTCCGTCGTTATTAGAGATACAGAAAAACTGAAAGTACTTTTTTATAGCAACTTTTGATGACGTTCAACGTGGTGATTCCGATTTTTTTATGCGACGTTTCGTATTCGTAGAACCATCATCAACTTTTGTTTTTCAAATACGGTCCTGATAATTTTTTCACAGATTTTGAAAGGTTTTTTTATTATGAATTCAACCATGTATAATACAAGGTGGTTTATGTGTGTTTCGACCTATCTTTAGCCATCATCAATGTTTTTTCGAAATTCCGAAGGAAAAATGCTATCAGTTCCACTTATTTTGAAGGAAAATTAGTCAACACACTAATACCTCATCAACTGGTTTCAATCAACAACCCATTTCATTTTGCGGAAACAAAAATTCCATCCATACAAATTCAGAGTATGTCAAGTGCTAAAACCAGGCGATGACGAAAGGCGCAGGACATTCTGTGAGTGGTATATATACCAGGAAATGTCAAAATTTTGCAGATTTCCCTCGAACAATCATCTGGACTGATGGAAAGCATGGTCACTAATCATGGTATCTTGGATAGAAAAAATACACATTATTGTTTACGAGAAAATGAACATTTACACATTACAGCGAGACACCAACACCGTTTCGGCTTTAATATGTGGGTTGCAATATTTGGTATACGAATTATTGGTCCTTTTATTTACCATGAAACATAGACTTCCGAACGTTATAAAAATTTACTTGAGAATCATCTTGAGGAAGCTCTGGATGATTTACCGATTGCGGAAGTTTGTAGGACTGTTGGTTTCAACAAGATCCGGTACATAATTCCAGAGAAGTCCGTGCGTTTTTATCCAGAAAAATGGATTGGTACTCATTCTACAGTCCCTTGGCTGGATTTTTTCTTAGGGGAAATATCAAAAACTTTGTATACGCAAATAACTTTGATGATGAAGAAGAACTAAGGGACAGTGAAATTCAATAAAATAACCTCAGAAATGCTTAGTAATGTCTTAGAAGCAACTGTGAGAAGGGGATATCTTTGTTTAGTTCAGAAAATAATGGTTATCATTTTGAACATTTGTTATGAATTGTCAAAGTTAAGTTGTTAAAGTATTTCGTGTAAGAATTCATCAACAATTTTA